TTTTAATTTTTATTGGCAGTGAATTTATCAAACACAGGTTCATATCGTAACATTTTCTCTTTAAAAAGTAAATTGAATATAAGCTGGAAGATTGATTTTTCTGCTCATGCAGCACAGGCAAAGAGGCCCGATGACCTTTGACCTCCGTTGGGCCAATCAGATAAATGCATTTGACTTTATAAGCATCCAATAAGAAAATAGAAAAACAGATTTTTTTTTTTGATAGAATATGCAGATAATTTGACGTAGAAAAACATTTTCTGAGCTTCTTTCTGTAAATCTTCTCTTTTTATAACTTTTAATGCCACAAACAGGAACTTCCTCCTCACAGGAACGAAGGTGAACCAGAACTCACAGGACTACAGGGACCAGAATGCATTGTGATGCAAGGAAAACAACAACTACAGCGTACAACAACAACAAACATCAGACGTTACATCTCGTGTGAGCGTTTTCTTTTAAAAACAGAAATGGCACGAACGAAATGGAAAAATGTCTTTTCTTCTTTTTCTCGTCGACTCTGAAACGTTTCCTTCGATTTGTTTCCGTCGTTCTCCACAGGAGTCGCGTTACATTTCCCGTCACAGTGCCGTTTGTTTTAATATACTGCATTTCCCAGCATGCCCCTTGCTCGTCCACGCACAAGGACACGCTACCCCCCCCGGCAGGAGGGGGCGATATGAGGTGATGAAGACGACACGAGGTTTGACTTGGAGCTTCGCCTCGACGCTGCGATTAAAAGTTCAGCACCGGTTTGAGGAGAAAGGCCATGAATCGATCGCTTCGCTTGTGTTTCGAGCAGAACATTCATTTTAATTTTTGTACAACAAACGTTAGAAAATAAAAAGACTCCTCCCCATTTGACTGAGCTTCGGCTGCTGTAAGTCCCCCCCCCCCCCCACCCGAGCCGAAGAAATCGAAGAAGCATCGATAGAAAAGTTTATCAAGAGTCTTTGGCTGATTTTCAGGAAGTAAAGGCCGTCGGCTGAAGAGAAGCTCAGCGCTGCGCGGGTTTGACTCTCGTTTGTGTCGTGTCGCAGTCGGATACGAGCCGCAGCTCCACCGTCCTGCTGCCCTGGGGTTCAGCGAGGCCTCGGAGCTCACCCTGGGGTCTTGTTGGCTGTGCTGAGCCGAGGGCAGCAGGAGGGTTTTAATCAAAAACACTAAAACTTGAAGAGTTTGGTGTCGTTTCCAAGAAGCTACAAACCTGGATGGTTTAATTTACTCCAGATTATTTTATCCTCCCAGATTAAAACCAGCAGAAACAACTTTTCCAGATTCAGAAAACTTCACTGCGACGTCAGATTAACAGATTTCCTGAGTTGTGTTGGATTAAACGTGAACCGAGCATGTGGTTTAATAAATTACATGATTGTTATCATAAACGTTTTGTTGCGACGTTGTGGGATTAAGCTCAGCGTTGGATTAGCGAGCAGGAGAATAAACGGCTTTGAGATATTTTTCCTGCAGGTTCCAACCTTTCAAACCGCCCGGCGCTCCTAAAATCAACCCCGAGCTGCTTCCAAACAAACACCGAACATAATCCCGTGACGTTCTGGAGCGGAGGTCTTCAGCTGATCCAGTCCCTCCTGGTCCTCCACCCAAAAACTGCACAAGCATCTCGCCAGTCATCCGCTGGTGGAGCCATGTGGAGTTTGGCAGCACGGCGGCCCAGTGGTTAGCACTGTTGCCTCACAGCAAGAAGGTCCTGGGTTCAATCCCCGGTTGGACCTGGGGTCTTTGTGTGGAGTTAGCATGTTCTTCTCGTGCATGCGTGGGTTTCCTCCCACAGATCAAAAACATGCATGTTAGTCCGCCTTCAAGAGAGATCTGTGATCTCAGTGGGATTTTCACGGTTAAATAAATGTTAACAACAACAAGAATTGCTTCCCGTTGCCTCGGTAACGTGTCCGTTTGTCCTCCATTCCATGAGTTGTCCTTTTCACAGTTATCAACGCGCAGATTCACCGCGCGCCAACAAGGTTCATCGCTCGGCTCCAGAGTTTTGGTCCTTCACGTCTGCTGTTAACTTTTATAAATTGGTTTTATCGGTAGTTAACGTTGGAGAATCACAGAATGACTGCAGAGACGCTGACGGGGACTAAATGCGTTTCCACCAACAGGAAGTAGGCAAGCAGCTATCTGGACCACAATGCATTGCAAGATGGACAAAGTCAGAGAGGCCAGACGGAGACGGTTTAGACATGCCCAGAGGAGGAACAGTGGGTTGGACATGTCCAGAGGAGGAACAGTGGGTTGGACATGTCCAGAGGTGGGACAGTGGGTTGGACATGTCCAGAGGTGGGTTGGACATGTCCAGAGGAGGGACGGTGGGTTGAACATGTCCAGAGGTGGGTTGGACATGTCCAGAGGAGGGACAGTGGGTTGGACATGTCCAGAGGTGGGTTGGACATGTCCAGAGGTGGGACGGTGGGTTGGACATGTCCAGAGGAGGGACGGTGGGTTGGACATGTCCAGAGGTGGGTTGGACATGTCCAGAAGTGGGACGGTGGGTTGGACATGTCCAGAGGTGGGTTGGACATGTCCAGAGGAGGGACGGTGGGTTGGACATGTCCAGAGGAGGGACGGTGGGTTGGACATGTCCAGAGGTGGGTTGGACATGTCCAGAGGAGGGACAGTGGTTTGGACATGTCCAGAGGAGGGACAGTGGGTTGGACATGTCCAGAGGAGGGACAGTGGGTTGGACATGTCCAGAGGAGGGACGGTGGGTGTACTGGTAGAAGGATGTTAGAAAGTAGCAGGAAAAAGACAAATGAGATAAATGGATGCAGCTAGAGGGGACATGGAGGTACCGTACTTTCCGCCGTACAAGTCGCATCAGTTCAAAAATGTCTAATAAAGTGGGAAAAAAACATCAACGTGTCGCTTCGCCGTATAAGTCGCATCTATTACGCGTCACCGCTGACAACCTGGAAACGTGGGCCGGTGTTGTGCCAAAAATCGATTGGCTGCCAAATGACGGCAGTGGGAGCGTGCACGGGAGGACTTTAACAAGAATTTAACAAGATTAACACTTAAAAACATTTATTTGTTTGCTCGACGTTATAACAAAGGTGCATCTCAGTTGAACTTTTACTTATTAAATTCACTTTAATGGTCAAATCAGCTGCAACTCTCCTGGGCGTCACGGTGAAATGAAGCTGATTTGATGTTTGATCCACGAGTTCTGGAGCGAGACGAAGATGTCTTGTACGGCAAGCCAAGTGTCTCATTAATAGCCACTTTTACCTATTAAGGAGACACTTGGCTTGCCATATTAGTCGAGGGCCCTCTAGCGGCTGAAAATGGTAGTGTTCAATATTTTCCACGTCAGAATGAATGAAATCATCAGATCTCGGTCACGAATTGGTTATAAATATGGAAAATAAATACTTTGCTGTATATGTTGTAGGTCATGCTAATTTATGCAAAAAACTGTGACTTATACAGCGAAATGTACGGTAGTTGGAGTGAGGACAGAGAGAAGACACAGGACAGAGTGCGATGGAGAATTCCTCCCTAAGAGGGAACAGCCGAAAGAAGAACGCATCGCAAATTACCAACACTGAGCATTAGTAACTGTAAAAGACTTTCCAGTTCAGGACTCAGTCCAGCTCAGGCTCAGGTCTGGACCCTCTAAAAACATGAGGTCTTGGCGTCTTGCTTCCAGGACTCGAGGTCCCAATCTGCACCTGAACCCCAGAACTCTTAGGCGGAGTCCATCTCGTTGAACCACTCAAAGGATCACCGTCTGCGTGCGCTAACAATGCTAACTGCACGTAGCCGTATGCTAACTGCACGTAGCCGTATGCTAACTGCACGTAGCCGTATGCTAACTGCACGTAGCCGTATGCTAACTGCACGTAGCCATATGCTAACACGGCTTCTTGACGACGGGCTCTGTCCTCGGGTCAAACGTCCTCCCTGAAACAGTTTGAGGATCTAAAAGATCCAACTAGTTTTAGTTCTGTTTGGTTAAAAAAGTTCAGTTTATTATTTTTACTAACAAATATCACAACTTCTTGTTTTAAGGACTAAATTTTACACATGATTGAGTCAGAGCTGCGTTTTAGTTTTTAATCCTAGGAGCTTTTCCAGATTTTAACCCCAGTGTTGTTTCTGTAAACGCTCCTTGAACAGAACCTGGGTTGTTGTCCCTCGGACGGAGGCGGCGGCTCGTAGCGACTGTAACTGTGATTTAAAGATGGACGACTCTGGGTTGGACCGCGCTGGGATGAAGCTGCTGGGATGTTCGGAGCGGTTCCGTTCTCGGTGGTGTTCATGCAGACCGGATGATGGAAGCTGAGGGGGATTTCAGTCTGACGGGTTTCAGGATCGTCGAGCTGGACTCCACTGACGGCCATTTTCCTCAGGTGAAACTTGATATCTCTCAGAACCGGCTATTAAAGACCACATTGGTGTTTTAACGTAGCTAGTTGCTAATTTCACGACAGTTTTAGTACAAAAGGTGCAAAAAAGAAATTAATAACCCTCACAGGAAATAAATTTCAACCATATTTTCTTTAAATTGATAGTTTTTACAATAAATGACCAAATTTACTCACCCAAACTTTGATCATAATTAGTCATAAGACTCTTTTACAAGTCGTTTAAGACAAATTATTGAATCCTCACCTGCAGCTTGAACGCAAAACGTGATAAAAAAAGAGAAATATTTCTTAAACCAGGCAAAAAGGAAACTAAAAAAAAACTATTGTTAAATGTTCATCTTCTTTGGAGTCAAATGGATTCAAGATGGCCGCCACAGCAGAGCAATTATTCAGTTTAGCAAAAACGAAGCGCAGTTGTAAACAAAACCAAAAAACATTGGTAAAGTATGTTTTTTCAAACCAGTAAGCTTCATTTGGATAAAGAGATTAAAGAACCTCCTGCTGCCCTTGGGTCAAAACGAGCCACGAGGCCTTTGTGCTAAGACTGAAGCCTTGTGGGCCATTTTGACCCAAGGGCAGCAGGAGGGTTAGTTAATGATTTAGGGCCTGATGTTTTGTTTAAAAGCCTTTAAAGTTTTTATCAGATTATAATTTTTGACCCCTAAGGAGCAGCACGAGTCCAAACGACGACACGACTGAGTTTTGTTTGAACTTTTAATCTGAAAAACATTTTTTAGACCCCTCCCATCTCTCTGCTGCGTTCAGGAACATGTTAAAGCACCAACGTGGCCTTCAGGTTCTGCTTCCATTAAAGCGTTAAAAGTCCCTACTCATAATAACTTAAGTCTAAATCCCAGAAGCTGAACGGCGTTCAGGTGAGAACTGGTTTAATCCAGGCGGGCGTTTGAACGTGGGGTCAGCGGAGTCTCAGCTCGTGGATCTGGTTCAGTTTTTATTTGCAGGAACTCCCAAGTGGAGTCGATCCGCTGCTCCTGATCTGTGTCCTGAAGAGGGGTGGAGGTCAGGGAGCGGATTGGAGGAGGAGGAGGTGGTGCTACGAGGAGGCGAGTTCGAGGATGAGGAGCAGGGCCAGCAACGTGACGGCGGAGGGCAGAGCGAGGCCGCTGCCGCCGCCGGTGGTGTCGTCGGTCAGGAACGGCTCCGGAGACTCGTAGATGGAGTCGTCTGGAAGAGGAGAGACAGAAACTGTTAAAACTGACAAATGGACCAAGTTTCATGTGTGTTAGCACAACGCCAAGGCGGAAAGACATCAGCAATGACCTCAGAGAAGCAGCTGTCGCAGCCCATCGGTCTTGAAGGGTCAAAGGTCATTTGAAGTTCATCGTTCTACAGAAAGTTTACTCACAAGCGGAAATCATTTAGGACAGCTGGAGATTTTACCAAACTCACCCTGAAGGTCAGACTGTGCAATGCTCAAAAATGAGCTCCATCTTAGACTCTACAGGTCTAAGTTATCAAGGTACAGGTCAAAGGTCATGCCAGGACGATAAGAAAACGTTGGAACAACTCGGGTTTGTAAAGTATCAGCTGAAGGAACCATAACGTTTAGATGTTTCAGCTCCTGCAGGGTCCCACCGCCAGCGAACTCACGAGTTCACACGGTGATTGTTTTACACCAGACACAACCTGGACTCAAACCTAAGACCGTGCCACTGACCACTGAGCTACCGTGGCCTCCACCAAGAAGATTATATTTAACCACGGTGAAGGCTACAGGACCATCTCCATGCAGGTTCATGTTCCTCTCGTCTCCGCTGACGAGATCTTTAAAAGTTTAAATGAATCCAACCTCTCGGGAGGTGAACGCAAGAGAAGATGCGACCCCAGGATGATCAGATGGTAGAAGAAGAGTTCTCTAAAACCATTTAAGCCAAACTCCATGGAGGAAGACCCAGGAGGACTCTGCCAAAGTCCATGTCCCCAGAGTCCTCCAGGACTGATGAGACAAAGCTGGAGCTTCTTGGCCCCAACAGGTTTTTTAATGTTCAGGGAAGGGAACCAACAACTTTATCAGTGTCTAGCAGCTGTCAGCACGGTGGTGGAGGGCTGATGGTTTGGGCTCCTGTCAATCACTGGGTGGACCAGGACCTCCGCTGTAGACCAAACGGTTCTGGTTCAGATGCAAGTCCATCTGTGCAACAGCTGAAGTTTGGTCCAAACTGGGTCCAACAGGACCATGATCCCAAACCCAGCAGCTGATCTACAGCAGAACGGCCCAGTCAGAATCCAGAACCTCAGCCTGACTGGCTCACCTTCAGAGAGCTGAGCAGAAACCAACAGAGTGGGCCAGAACTCCTCCACAACCATGAGAGACGGAGTTCTGCTGCTGGACCTGGACCCGGTTCTTTATGCAACCACCTGCTCTCCTGAGATGATGTGGACATAACTCCGGGACCAAATCTTGTTTCTGGTCTTGATTCCTGAAACCTTTTCATCGTGGCCGCCTGTAAATCTTTTAAAGTCCCGGCTGTGATCCGGTAAATCAGTGAGTGACAGAACCAGCCGGCTCTCTTGTATAAGCCCGTAATGAGTGTTAAAGCTGTCATCTGCTCGGAGTCGCAGGCCGCAGTGGACAAGTGGAACAGAACCAGAACCACCGTCTTATAAAAGCTTAGAGCTGAAACGGGTCGTCTGGCCAGAAGCTCGTCGCTGTAGTTCGGAGTTGAACGATGTAAAATGTCACGTTTAGCATCAGTCGGTCAAAAACGAGTCGACTCATCGATCCGCTGCACTTTTTATCAATAATTCTTCACGTGAAGTTCTACGGCCCAGAGAGTCCGATCGGTGGACCGCAGGTTCGATTCCAACATTCCTCAGAAAGAATTATTGTTGTCAACCACAAAAAATGTGCAATCGTGTCACTGCCTGTTAGCAAAATATCCCAGGAAACCACTGTACAGATACAACCACTAGGCTAAGTCAGGTGCGTTGGAGCAGGGGAAACAGGTAAAACATGCAGGTTGGTGGCCCGCAAGGACCAGGATTGGACGGCCCTGGTTTAGCCTCGTGGTTTCCCACTGCTGGAGACTCATTGTGAGGAAATGAGTGAATTGCGTTTGCAACCTGTCCAACGGTTGATCTACTGGAGTACAGTTTTAAAAGAAAACTGGTTCCAAATGTAAGCAACAGGACTGCGTCCGTGTCCCTCAGGCCCGTTCACACCCAGCGTCTGAAAACTGAGCTCTTCTGTTGATTGGGGAACGTTACACAGCAACTCCATTATCGCAAATAAACCCGCCGTAGTTTCCATGCCAGGCCACTAGATGGAGCTGTGATCGTTGTGTTTGGACGACTCTTCAGTTTCAACCATGAAACGGTTTCGTTCTAGGTTGGTGAAGACACGAACTCTGGTTTGGACCAACAATGAGGTTGGGCTTCTGCTGAACGTCCGTCCATCCATCCATTATCTTCCGCTTATTCCGAAGTCGGGTCGCGGGGGCAGCAGCTTGAGTAGAAAGGCCCAAACAGCTCTCTCCACAGCCTCTTCCAGCTCTTCTGGGAGGATTCCAAGGTGTTCCCAGGCCAACCGAGAGACATAGTCTCTCTAGCGTGTCCGGGGTCTTCCCCGGGGTCTCCTCCCAGTTGGACATGCCCGAAGAACCTCCCTAGGGAGACTCCCAGGGAGCATCCTTACCAGATGCCTGAACCACCTCAACTGGCTCCTCTCGACGTGGAGGACCCGCGGTTCTACTCTGAGTCTCTCCTGATAACTGAACTTCTCACCCTGTCTCTAAGGGAGAGTCCAGCTACCCTGCAGAGGAACCTCATTTCAACCTCCTGTATCCACGATCTCATTCTTTCAGTCTCTACTCAGAGTTCATGACCAGAGGTGAGGGAGGAACGTAGACCGACCGGTAAACAGAGAGCTTTGCCTTAAAGCTCAGCTCCCTCTTCACCACAACGGACCGGTACAGAGTCCGCAATACTGCAGATGCTGCACTAATCCATCTATCAATCTCATGCTTCATTTTTCCCTCACTCATGAACAAAACCCTGACATAGTTGAACTCCTCCACTTGAGGCAGAGCCTCACCCTCGACCTGAAGAGAACGATCCACTGTTTTCTGGTTGAGGACCACGGCCTCATATTTGGAGGTGCTGGTTCTCATCCCAGCTGCGAACCGCTCCAGTGAGAGCTGAAGATCACGGCACGATGACGCCAACAGGACCACATCATCTGCTGAACGTGACTTTAAATAAACCAGAGTATTGTCAGACTTGGCAGCGCTAACAGCATTCGGCTAGCTTCCATTGTTACCGTTGTCGATTCGCCTGTAGTGCACGTGTGTGACTTCACTTAAGTTGCAGTTTCCCTTAAACCGGTTCAGTTTCCAAAAAACCCCCACTCTGAAACCTGGATTCAAAAAGCTTCAGCGTCAGATCAAACAACCGCTGCCGTCGTGTAAACGGGACCGCCGACCTACTGATCGCAGCGCCGGGAGTTCACCTTAAAGCCAAGATCTCATCGGATGCAGCTGCGGGTTTTGGATTACAACCACGTGCACAAAGATTCTGACATTTCTGGTGAATTCAATCGACTCTGAGATTTTAAACATGTTCAAAAAGGACTTCTTCCTCAAAAAGTTGGTCTACACGGGCGACTGGAACCAGCCTGAAGTTATTTCTGGGAATCACGGTGATGAAACTGAGAAATTATTTTGCAGTTACACAAACCGACACACCAGTTTGGCTCAAACATTTTCCTGCTATATAAATAATATATATTATATAATAAAACTTAGCCGGCAGAAAGTAAAATGTAAATTCTTGTCCTGATGCAAACAAAAGCCTGTATTTATCAGTTACCCTCCTGCTGCTCTTGGATCAAACGGTCTTCGAGGCCTCTGTTTTAAAACAGTCATTTTGACCCAAGGGCAGCGGGAGGGTAACTGACTGTCAAAGGATCCAAACCTCCTGCTTGTCGGACAGATTTTAGGGAGAATATTTTACTGCTCATTTTAATATTTAGATTCTTTTTCGCAGAACGAAGCTTCGTTAGCCGGACGGAGAGCTTCCAGCTGATGACGACAGACGTGTTGGAATCAGATAAAATCTCAAAGAGCTTCAAGAGCGAGGAGGAAGTGTTTAACGCCTTCGCTCTGACAGCTGAGAGGCTTCACACTTCCCCGGCTTCAAAATGACATTTACAGGTTTTTCACGACGGAGGAGATTAATGAGCTCTTCACACGGCGGCTGGAGATGATTTTAAACCGTTAACGACCTAAATATTACATATAAATTAACCTTTTGAGAATAATTACATGAACTAATCAAGTGCAAAACGACACAGGTTTCATTCGTCTTTTTAAAAACAATTTGTCTTCGTGCTGCGGAGCATCTCCACCTATTGGATCCTGTCAGGTTTTTTTTGTTTAAAGAGATCAGTGACTCGTTAGATTTGCTTCAGCTATAAAAACAGGACTCTAAAACACTGTAGGCTCTTTAGTTTTTATATAATTTCACACGGACGTCGCCATGTCCATGCCGCAATGAATTCTGGGTAAATGACGTAGATAGGTGGCTCTGGTGCGAGCTCCATCCAGATGGAAACTGTCTGACGTTCAGCAGTTTAATTAGACTCAACCTGAAAATGATGAAGACCAATCGATGAAGAGGAGAGCTGCCGTTTGTGCTGCTGATGAGAGAGACGATGCTGCACAGAGCTCCGCTCTCCGTCACAACGAGCATCGCGATCAAAACATGCTCATTTGTATTAAAATAATGTGTTACACATTATACCAGGATAAAGATTGAAAGATATTTGTTGTCACCTTGTCACTGTTCCGCTCGTTCTAATTTGGTGTGTGGGGTTCTGGAGCCGAGGTAAAGCCAAATTTGGTTCCACCCTGACCACAGTGCAATACTGTTCACAACAACGATTAGCACACAAGCACACGTTACTCACGAGGAGTGCACATGAGTGACAACAGTCTGGTGCCGTATGGATGAGGGATGGACCGAAGGGGTTTTTGGTACCAAGCCTCAGCTTTAGCCTGTTAGCTCCAGGGCTAATACAAATGGCGTTAGCACCAAAGCTAATATATACGACATTATCTTCAACGCTAATAGCATTAGCTCCAGAGCTAAAATATATATATATATATATGGCTTCAGAACTAATATATATGGCATTAGCTCCAGAGCTTGTAAACTAAACATTCCAAGTTGATCACATTTGATTGTTTCAACCCATATAATGTGCATATCGGCATAAGGACTAATGCAAAATATCATATTGTCAAACTTTATAACTTTTTAGCCTCGACTCCTTGTGCTTTAATTGTCACTGCAACCTATGTACGCCATTATCCCAGAATGCAGTTCACCAGTAAAAAATGTTGACAGCCAATGTAATAAACTTAATTATTAAATGCAATTAGACTTTCAGATGTCACAACTTTTAGTAGAATATGAAAATAACATTAAAGACAACATGTAATCAAAAAGCTGTAGAACTACTTGAAAATGACTGAAATATTCCAGTAAATACTTGAAACTTGCACATTTTAAATGAGTTTTTAAAGCATTGCAATCTTTAACAACCTGATTTTCTAACGTTCATCTACCTCAATTCTGAGTAGCTATCCTTAAATGACTTGTAAATCTAGAAAACCTTTAAGGAAAACATTTGCAGACTACCACCCCCTTCAGTCCTGGAGAGTTTTTGATCCTTTAACTCAGAAAACAACTACATCCTAGCTGAAAGTTGTTTTTTGAAAAAGCACTCTGTGCCAAACGAGCTCTGCGGTGTATAATGGAGCCACAGACTTTCAGTAAATTGAATGTAAACACGGTGAAAAATGGCTGAGATAAGAACAAAACACTCACTGGATGGTTTGACGTAGATTTTGAGTTTCAGACAAGGTTTCCCAGCCAGGTTCGGATGTGGAGACGCTGCAGAAGAAACAAAGACGGTTAGTCTCCTACCAAACCTCCCAACAGCAAGGCTTCACATGAAAAGGCTTTTAGGGTATTAAACAAAAATATATTTATATGTTTTAACGTTCTCTGAAAATTCTCTGTAAACTGACTAGATTAAATTTTGTTTTGATGCGTTTACAAAAAGGATCTATACCAAACCAGCTAAGGTGGTCCACGCTTCAACATGGGTCAGAATGAGCTCATGAAAAAACAGATTTTTCTCATAATTGAGATTTACGTAAAAATGAGTCAATGACGACGCCATCGATAAATCCCAGTAAGTAAAATATAATCTTCCTTATTTACCTTTAAATCAAAGATTGGTAACTCTCCCAGACCAACCAAGAGACACAAGGCTCATTCATAAAACTGTTTTTAGAAATGGCTCCATGGACCGGTCCGTTTGGCCATTCACAACCCACAGAAGAAGCCGTGCACGGATGAAGCGGGCCACGGATGAAGCGGGCCACGGATGAAGCCG